CCCACATACAGACCGGCCGCTCACTGGCTGAGCAAGGTGCGGGAGCAACACCGAGGGATGCGATCCTGTTGCCAGTCACAAAAAAAAAGGGAAAAAAAAAAACAGTGCTATTTATGAATGCTAAATATTGGTATTGATAATAGTGTTAGAGTAACACATTACAAGTAGCATCACAGGAATTTGTAAACCAGGTGTTAGCAGTTTTCAAGAGTCTTGAATTCTTCATTCATATTTTATTTTTATTAATCAATGAAACAGTTTATTATTAGGAAAAACAGACTTTATTGTCTGTTAAGACATACAAGAAGAAATCTCATACTAATCATCTACAATGATTAGATACTATTTTCTTATCTAGACTTCTAAATTATTGTGGCTAAAGGGTTAATTAAAACATTATTTTAAAGTCCACTATTGGAATAAATTTGCCTCTATTTATTAGTCTCCCATGAAATATGTATCCTTCGAAATCCACCCTTCTTAAATATTTTGAAAAATTTATACCAACAGCATGCAGTTTTAATTACAATTTATAGGCTTGTGTTTAAATTGCATTTTAAACTAATTTGGTTTGTTCTTAAAGTTAATTAACTAATCGAGAGGATGTTTCTTGGTGCAATTGAGATAATAGAGCAGATGTGGAAATTTATTGGCATCTCTTGGAAGCATACCAAACATAGACATTTTCTCTTTGTCATGCTTAACTAACCTTTAAAACCATGTGCCTCTCAAGAGGAAATATTCGTGTACATTTATAGAGGACACAGCAAAAGTCAGGTAGGTTGCTGTGAGTTTATTGTCTTCAGACATTTATGTATGAGTTAATACTAATAGTGCTTTCTACCTAAATTCTGTTGTTAGATGCTAACGTTGTACAAGTAAACTGAGTATATGGGAGTCATCTTGTCTTCATGACTTGAATTGGTAATTTATTTTGCTCAGATTTATTATCACGTTCAATCATTCAATCCTGTTTCCCTCAAGCAATGCAGAGAGAAACAGAAAGAGGATTATTTCTGTAAAAGCCATGACCCCCACTCTGAGGATGACAACAGGCATGCATGTGAGATCTGCCCTGCGCAGAATTCAAACTCGCTCCTTTTATTTATTCCCATGGTATCTCAGCAAGTTATGAGAGAGCAACTCTTCTACTGTACGTGTTCCTCCTTACTGGAAAGGCAGTAAGTAAATGTTAACTGTATGTTGACTTTATGACAGTCATTCCACAAACAGCTTTGTAGGAGTCACCTTACTTAATTTTCATAACAACATATTGTATTGTTTAGTACTATTAACATTAACTATTAACTTAATTCTCATAACAACATATTGTATTGTTCAGTCTGGGAAACTGAAGCACAGGAAGGACGGGTAATTTCTCCAAGAGCCTACAGAGAGTGAGCATGCAGCCCAGGATTCACATTTAAGTTGCCTGAATTCAGAGCCCATATAATACTTCTAAAGAAAAAAATTGGGCATGTATATCTACAATGATATTATGCATAACATTTCACATTTTGTTGTTTTCACTTAAAATGGCATAAACATTCTTAAATTTCTATAGCTTTCATAAGAATAATTTCAATAGATGTTTAATAGTTTGCCTGGTTTGCATAACATAACTGATTAAATTTCCCTATTATTGGATATTAGGTATATATATATATATATATATTAGTGCCTAGAACAAAATACAGGAGTGTGTATACACACACACACATACATATTAATTATCCCTTATCTAAAATGCCTGGAAGCAGAAGTGTTTCAGGTTACAGATTTTTCTTTTATTTTGGAATATTTGTATATTTCGAATATTTGCATATCCGAAACGCTCCCCATGAGTGTTTGCTTTCAGCATGACCTTTGAGCATCATGTATGTGCTCAAAAAGTTTAAAATTTGGGAGCATTTCAGATTTCAAATTTTGGGATTAGGGATGTTCAAACTGTATGTGTGTGTGATTATATATATCCCTATACTTGTATATAGTCCATTATATATGTTTATAAGTTTCTTCATATAAAAGAGATTTTGCTTAGGCTGATTTATTTTCTTGAAATTCTCAGAAGTAGGATTATGAGCATAAAAGTATGGCTATTTTTATGGATCCTGTCATATCTTATATATTTGCCAACTAAAATAGGAGGCAAAGAATGACTGAGTAGCTCATATACTGGCTGGAAAGCAAAGACAATGCCCTTTGCTAAAGAGTGAGGTATTTCCACACAAATCTCCAGTGCATGTGACGTAATTCAATATTTCAGTAATGATTCTCAGATAGTTCAACCACTATGTGGAACAAATGTGGGTTCGACACAGGAAGAACTGTATAAATTTCCCAGACCCTCCACAGCCTAAGGATTTATCTCAGACTTTCATAGGCACTAACAGTATATTCCTGACACTTCCTAGATCATTGCCAAATTGTTTAAATATTTGTTGATCAAAAGTTCAGACACACAAATAATATTTTAGTGCTGGTAATTATAAGCCCTTCTAGAGAATAATCTTTCACAATACTGATATTAGAGGAAAAGGATAATGCTCATTATCTCACGGTGGACTGTGTAACAGCAGTTGTGTTTATATAGTTATCTGCTTTGGTTCAGAGAAGCTAGTTTGTTCTTCAAAATAAATAGACATATTTAAATGCTATAGGATAACTGACGCTATGTTTGGTTTGTGATTTAAAGTACGATATGTTAGTTATTGAGTGCTTAAGAATGATATTAAGATAAAGATCCCATTCATTCATTCCATACCTATAACACACAAGGTATTTTTCTAACAGTACTGGCTATTCTCCGGTCATATTGTTTTTGTAATTAATATGCAAAAGGATTGTTTTCTGCATGTTAATTAATGGATTTCATTAGGTAAGTTTTCTAAGTTTTGCTGTAAATCACTGAACTTAAAGCATTTAGCTTATACCTATAAAAATCAACACTGAAGGCAGCTGACCTTTTGGAGGACTTCATTGTAAAGATTACTAAATGTTCCACACAAAGCTCTAGGCTCAGCACGTTTAGGTGCTGAATGGCCATCATAACAAATTCATGAGAGCTGGCTCACAACAGACACACAGAAACAAGCCAAAAGTTAGGTAACCGTGACCATTCTAATGAGAGTTACTTTTTTGACAGATGCAGTGCACGCTCCCTCTTGTGTCTCAGCACGATTACTTGGCCTACCATGACCAGTAGGTGTGGGTCGGTACCTTAAAAGTCACCTGTATTGCATTCAAGTTTCAAAGAGTAGATCATAGTTAGCCTTTGGTTCTGTTATTGAAGCAGAAACAAGCTTAGTAGTGGTTTGTGAGTGTGCTTGGATACCCCTGTGCTCTGGTTTCATTGACATTCACAAGGCTGACATCCAGAGACACTCTTCTTAGGTATTCATGTGTATCAGGCGTGGTGCTCTCACTGTCAGCTTGATAGAACCACTAAATGACTGTGCATTGATCCAGAAGCAACTGTTCTTCATTCTCTGTAACGTGGTGGAGGATTTATGCATACCGTACTGGATGACAGCTGGGGATTTTTTGGCAATGATTTTACTCAAGTTTGCACTCTCTTTGTACTCTCTTCCATCAGCTAAATTTTGTTTTGGTTTTTGCCCACCTTCTCTCAAAAGATTTAACTCCAATCGCAAAAAAGTTTTCTCTGTATACTGTTTTTATAGCCATTAGGTGATCCTGGAGTATGTGTGTGTGCATGTGTGTTTGTGTGTGTGTGCATGTGTGTGTGTGTGTGTCTGTGATCAATCTTACAAAATAAGCAGGTGCAGAGTGACAAAGACTTGATTCTATATTATAAAATCTGCATAAAGTTACTGTTTCAAAGTCTGTCCCAATACATTCTTATTTATTTTCCAACAGTATAAGGAAGACTTGGGCATAATATGTTCATTTTATTTGTGCTCAGCATTTTATGATTAATTCTCTTTTTCTATTTCTCTCCCTTAGTATATCCTTTGACATCAAATTGCCTTTGAGAGCTGCCAGATTAACTTTCACCTGTTTGGCAACCAAGTGAGCTCAGAATGAATCATATACTAATCAATTACAAAATGTCCACTAAGGCTTTCCCCCATACTAAATAACGAGTCATTATATTGCATAGTTATGTGAACCCAATGTTCTGCTTCTGAGTCTGAAAAGAGAAAAACTTCACGCAGTATCACTCTGTAAATTTTCTGAAGCCTTACCCCAGATTTAGAAGACAACATCTCTCTCTGAACACATGACTCCAGAAGTTGGTAGAAATTATCAAACTATATTAAAGTTTCTTCTTAAGTTTCTTCTTCCTTATATATTTCATGTATCATTGTAAAGTAAACTTATGAAAGCAGGTCTAGCAGAAGTAATATGGTATATTACCTCAGGAGCATTGGATTTGAATATGACAGCCTTGGAGAAGTTACTTGAGCTGTAAACACTTCAATTTGCTTATATTTGTGCTGAATAATAGTACCTAACTCATGTTCTTTTGGGAATTAAATGAAGTAATACTATAAAGGGCTTCTCATCACATCGAATACATAGTTATTGCTAAGTAATGATAATAATAGTAATAACCAGAAACAGAATCATTCTCAGTCCAGAACACTGTAGTGAATAATAGTACCTAACTCATGTTCTTTTGGGAATTAAATGAAGTAATACTATAAAGGGCTTCGCATCACATCGAATACATAGTTATTGCTAAGTAATGATAATAATAGTAATAACCGGAAACAGAATCATTCTCAGTCCAGAACACTGTAGTATACTGTAAGTACACTTTGCTGAATCTGGTGGAATCCACTCTCTTGAGACTAAGCGTATATTTAAGTGAATCCAAAATTGGGCAAATGTAAAATGAGCTGATTAGCTAGACATAGAAAACATATCTAAACTCTCCGGTACCTTAAATTATAGTTGGGACCATCACACAACAGAGACTATTGATCATTTGGAGAGGAAAATAACTGAGCTAAAAGAAAGACACCAAAGGGGCTGGCCAGTTAGCTCAGTTGGTTAGAGTGTGGTGCTGATAACACTATGGTCCTGAGTTCAATCCTTGTACTGGCCAGCTGAACCCCCTGAAAAGTACCAAAGAATTCCATAAGACAAAGTCATAGAAAAGGCACAGTCAATATTTTTTTCCTATGGATTTGAGTACAAGAATACTGGTTATACTATCTAAATACACAAGATAATTATTCAGTGACTGGAGATTTGACCTAAGAGTTCAGTCCAACTTCCCATGAGAGCTGCTTAGAGGACTTTATCATGGTGTGGCTATGATATAATTTAGCCTCCAAGTACATATGTGAGCCAAAAGGCTACATTTTACAGATTCATTATTACAAGCTCAAGGGGAAAAAGCATAGAATTATCATCTGGGAATTTGAGGTGGTATTTTTAAAAGATGAGTGAGCAATGACAGCACATTCATTTTCAATAAGAGAAAATATCAGTGAACCTTAGTTTTTATTCACCTAGAAAAACAGTGAATTCCAACTGCATCCTTTTGGCCCATCAATCCTGGATATAATGTAGTAGACTTGGGAGTACTTATTATTTTAAGAGAAGATGGGTTCAATTAATTCTCATTGCTAATGAGATCATAAAAGAGAAGAAGACAAACACTAGGGAATGAAACAAGTGCATTTTCAGGGGGTTGGGAACCTGAAAATACTACCATGGAGTCTCTCGTGGCAGTTTCATTAAAGGTAAAGATGGAGGATCATTGAGCTCTTTTCCACAAACCATTGCTAAGCATTCTTTGCCCCAATCCAAAGGCCTTTAATTCAGTTATGTTGTACAAAGCCAATCTTCCACAAGGACTTAGGTATTTGCTTATATTATAGAAGTGTCTCTGCCTATTCCTTGTTTTAATATGTATATATTTATATATATTTTAATATGTATATATTTATATATATATTAATATATATATTTATATGTATATATGTGCATGTATATATGTGTATGCATATATAAGTAATTACTGATTCAAAAGCTCAACAGATCTCAATCTCCAGAAAGCTTTAAAAAACTGCAAGACATTATATAACCAAATTATGAAACAGTGGTAAAAAGAAACACTTAAAAGTAGCAAGAGAAAACAGACACATTCCATTAAAAAAAAAAAGGTGACAGCAGATTCTCCTTGAAAATAATACAAATAAGAAAAAAGGAGAGCTGTGATAAACATGGGAGTGCAGGTATCCCTTCGACATGATGATTTCCATTCCTTTGTGTATATACCAGTAGTGTTATTGTTGGATCATATGGAAGTTCTGTTTGTAGTTGTCTGAGAAACCTCCATACTATTTTCTCTAATGGCTGCACTAATTTACAGTCCCACCAACAGTGTAGAAGGATTCCCCTAGAACCAACCTAATTGTCCATTGATGGATGACAGGATAAGAAAAACGTGGTATATATGCATAGTGGAATACTACTCAGTCATTAAAACGAATGAAGTTCTGTCATTTGCAGAAACATGGATGAGCTTGGAGAAAATTTTGTTATGTGAAATAAACCAGGCACAGAAAGAGAAATACCATATGTCCTTACTCATAAATGGGAGTGCAGTCTTATAATACCAAGGTCATGGGTTCAGATCCCCATACTGGCCAGCTGCTAAAAAAAAATACAAACAATGCTGAAGGAAATTAAAGATATAAATAAATTAAGGAATATATTTACTGATTGAAAAACTCATTATGGTTTAGATATAAATTCCCCCTAGTTTATCTATAAATTAATTGCAATCCCAATAAAAATCCAATTGGCAAGCTTTTTCTAATGCTCATGTAGAAAAACCAAAGACCTAAAATAGCACAAACAACTTTGAAGAAAGAGTATACTACCTAGCTTCAAGAGTTACCATGTACTCTTGACATAAAGATAGACATATATGCCAATGAAACAAAACTGAGTCCCGAAATAGACCTACATGTGGATTCTATTAATTTTTGACAAAGGGATATAGCAAATTAGTGGAGAAAGGATAATCTTTTCAACAAATCGCACTGGAAAAATTGGGTATCTTTTTTTTTTTTAAGTGCACTCATTTATACCTTTGACTACATAACAAGTTAACATAAAATTGATCATAGACCTATATAAAATGTAATATATAAAACTTAAAACTACAAAACGTCAAATAGAAATCATAAGAGGAAATCTCTGTGATCTTGAATTAGGCAAAGATTTCTTAAATAGCACAACAAAAGCATGATTCATGGAAGAAAATTAGTACATTGAATTTCATCAGAATAATAAACTTCTGCTCTTCCAAGGTCTTAATTAAGGTAACGAAAACATAAGCTGTAGATGGGGAGAAACTATTTGTAAGTTCCATATCTGAGAATGGGGATTGAATCCAGACTTCATAAAGAACTCTCAAACCTCAATAATAAGAAAGCAAACAATTCAATTTAAACATGGGGTAAAATACAAGAATATTTCAAATATTCATGGGAAGATTCATATTAATTCATTTTATTAATTCATTTTAATTCTTTTTCCACAAACTTTTTCAAGTACCTTCATGTCTGAACACATGTTTCACCGTAGTAGATACGTAAATGTAAAATAAGCACATAAGAAGATGCTCGACACCATTAGTCACTAGAGAAATGCAAATTTATACCAAAATGTGGTAACACTACACACCTATTAGAACGTCTAACATTGAAAATAGTGACCATACCAAATGGTAATAATGATGTAGAAGAACCTTAATCTCATATGCTGCTGATTGGAATGGAAAATAATACAAAACTTTGGAAACTTTGAAAAGAAACTACCTACTTTGTTTTTTCTTAAAAAGTTAAACATACACCTACCGTATGACTCAGCCATTACGTTCCTACATATATACCCCAAAGAAAGTAGAGTTCATACAAAGATTCTTACATGAATGTTCACAGAAGCTTTATTAAAAATACTCAAAAATGAAAATAATTCAAGCATTAACCAACAGGTGAATGGTATACCACTCTGCAATAAAAAGGAATAGCCATTGATATGTGCTGCAATGTAGGTGTATCTTTAAATAATTATTCTGAGTAATAGAAACCAGATATTAAAAGAGTACATACTTTTATAATTCCACTTATACAGAATTTTACAAAATACAAACTAACCTATAGTGGAATACAGATCAGTTGGTTGTTTGAGTATGGTGCAGTGGAGTGGGTTGGGGAGCAGGAAAGGAGGTGACACAAGAAAACTTTCAGAAGTGATGGGTGTGTTTATTATCCTGACTGTGGTGATGGTTTCAAGATATAGATAGGTATCTTTAAGACTGCTTACACGGGTAGCACTTTTTCTCTGAGTGTGGTAAAAAGCCACCACAGGTTTTTGAAAGGAGGAGTAACATAATCTGACTTACATTTTAACAGGATCCTCTTTAATTTCTTTCAGCAGTGTTTTGTACTTTTCATTATGGTGATCTTTCACTTCCTTTGTTAAATTAATTCCTAGGTACTTTACTTACTTTGTTTGTAGATATTGCTAATTTCTTTTCAATTGGTTCATTATTGGTGTGGAGAAATGCTACTGATTTTTGTATGCTCATTTTCTATCCTGCAAATTTACTAAATAAGTTTATCAGTTCTAAGAGGTTTTTTGGTGGACTCTTTGTTTTTCTACATCTAAGATCATGTCATCTGGGACAATGTGACTTCCTCTTTTCCAATTAGTATGCCCTTTATTCCTTTCTCTTGCCTAATTTCTATGGCTAGGACCTCCAGTACTAAGTTGTCTAAGAGTGGTGAAAGTGGGTATCCTTACCTTGTTCCTTTTCAAAGAGAGATTTCAGCTTTTCCCCATTCAGAATGATGTTCACTGTGGGTTTGTCAGATATGGCCTTTATTATGTTGAGGTACATTCCTTCTATACCAAATTTTTTGAGAGATTTTATCATGAAGGAATGTTGAATTTCATCAAATGATTTTTCTGCATCTATTGAGATAATCCTATGGGTTTTTTTTCCTTCATTTTGTTGAGGTAATTGATTTGTGTATGTTGAACCATCCTTGCATCCCTGAGATAAATCCCACTTGATCGTGGTATATAATCTTTTTGTTGTGCTGTGGGATTCAGTTTGCTAGTATTTTGTTGAGAAATTCTGCATCTATGTTCATCAGGGGCATTGCCCTATAGTTTTCCCTTTGTGTTGTGTACTTATCTGATTGGTATCAGGGTGATGCCAGCCTTCTAAGAGGAGTTTCAAAGAATTTTTTGAAATGATTTGAGAAGAATTGGTGTTAATTCTTCAAATGTTTGGTAGAAGTCAGCAGTAAAGCCATTCAGTCCTGGGATTTTCTGTTTTGGGAGACTTTTTATTACAGATTAAATCTTGTTACTTGTTTTTGGTCTGTTCAGGTTTTTTATTTCTACTTAGTTCCATCTTGGTATGTTATATGTATCCAGAAATTTATCTATTTCCTCTGAGACACTTGCAGTCAATGATGATGTCAATTGTAGTTTAAGAATCTGCCCAGAGACTAATCCACTGCATCTACTTGGAAACAGAGCTACTACACTATTTTAAGCCACACACTAAGACCCAACTACAGGTGAAAGATTCTATGAATGTCACTCTGTAAACTTTGGTAGAGGTAATTGTTGCACTAGATACACAGAAACCAATGCAGAGATGCAAGAAACACTAAAAGGCAAGGAAATATGACGCTATCAAAGAAACAAAATAACATGACAGTGATAGACCCAGAGAAAAGGAACTCAATTAACTACCAGAAAAGGAATTCAAAATAATGATCTTAGGAAAACTCAATGAGATATAAGAGAATACAGGTAGGTAGTTAAATGAAATCGGGAAAACAATTCATGATATGAAAGAGAAATTTAATAAAGAGATACATATAATAAAAAAGAAAGAAACAGAAATCTTGTAGGTAAAGAATTTAATAAGTGAAATTTAAAACAATACAATAAAGAGCTTCAACAGCAGACTAGAGCAATCAGAATAAAAATAATCTCTGAACTCTAAATAAAGAGATACATATAATAAAAAAGAAAGAAACAGAAATCTTGTAGGTAAAGAATTTA